AGTCAGTGACAATTACTTTTGTCATGTCTTCTTTGTCCTTCAACAATGAATGGTACACCTCTAAAGCCCAAGTAACATTCTCCTTTTTTTCGCTCTCTAAAAATGCAAAATCGGCAGAATAAGTCTTCTCGGCAGGGGTAACATCAATGATTTCCAATAGTGGAAGCCTTTACTTATTGGTCTTATACATTGAATCAATTATGAGAATAATAGGAAACATGTTGAACAACTTGATGGAATCAAGATGAGTCCAAAATATATCTTCAACTGTTACTATATCCTGCACATTCGTAACCTAGATACATAACTGTTATCATCCAAAAGTTTCAATAGTTGTTGCATTTGATTTCTACCCCCCTCAACTCCCTGTTATTATGGGCCCGAATATTGTAGACTTGCCTAATATTTGAGATATTTCCTAGTTTTTTATGCTTCAAAGTTGCTAGTATGTTTTTCGGTTGTACCATATTCAATGTCATGTCTGAAACACATTCCTTATCTTTCGGCATGAGACTAGATGCAATTGGATGCCCGACTAACTTTTCACACATGTCATGGTTAAGTAACCCACATATCACATTAAAACTCTACTTGTTATTTGCCAACAGATAACCATGTAACTTAAAAGGACACTCGCATTTTCTTGAACCATTGTCATCTTGTTTGAATTTTCGGAGAGGAGTTATATACTTCCCACTTATTTCGTATGTCATTGTCATAAGTGCAACTCTTCTATTAGAAACCATTATTGGACCTTCTGATTACAACACCAACCCATAATTTGGATGCCTCCATACGAATCCATTGAAGCATGTGATCATAAATTTCAAACTCTTGTCCATTTGTAAATTGGTTGTCAACATATATCTCCTTAACAATAATACATTTAGCATCCGAAGATAAAATATGTTTAGGGAAAATATTGGGGTGCGCCATATCTAATGAAAACAATAACATAAAATATTCAAAAATAGATGAAATTGAAAACATATTGGTGGAAAATGAAAATAAACAGACTCCGTAATTGCCTTTAAGGAGGGATTCATACAGAATCCAAAAATACATTTCCAGATTTGACATAAGCTATTTTAGCTATAAAACAAGATTAACGTAAGCAATGAGGCTTGGAATAAACTACCTTTACCTTGAATTCCAACTTCTTTTGCTCATTTTGATGTGATGAAACATAAGAATGAAAGTTTTGAGTGAAAATCTTGATTGAGAATGGAAGAGTTTTTCGAAAGGGTTTTGAGCAAAAATGGGTATGAGGGCTGATCATGCAGGTGGCTGTTTTATTAAAAATCACGTTAGAAAATTTTCAGACATACATCTCCAGAAATGACTGACATGCAAAGGTGACAAGTTTTCAAATTCCCGCTTCAAAACTGTGGAAATGCATTTATGTAAAATCCACTGGGATGCTCATTAATCAATAAATTGATTGGATTTACTCAGAGATGCATCTCCAAAATAAAAATTTTGAAAAAAATGGAGTGACACCTATTTGGGACGTTATTCAATGAGACAAAAGGTGTGTCTGGAGATACATGTCCAAAATCTGAGGCGCTGTTTCGAATTTCCATAGGGTACATTCCACCTCTTAGGGTGAGATTAATAATCCCCATAATATATATATATATATATATATATATATATATATATATATATATATATATATATATATATATATATATATATATATATATATATATATATATATATATATATATATATATAGTTATAAATCAAGAAGAGTACATAAAGCCAATCCAAGAGTTATAACGAAGTCGGTAAATAAAATACAATCCAAAATAAATCCAGAGTGCAAGTACTATAATCTACTATGTATGACAGACTCAGACTCGGCCTCGTGACTGCCTATTCCTACGCTGCCTCCTGTACTGCAGTGCCTCTCAAGCCTCCAACATTATAACATTTACAATGTCCCTCGCCTCAGAGCCATCCATAAAGAGTCACATGTCAATACCTGCCTTCCCAATCTCCATAATATAACGACATCTAGGTAATAGATCAACAACATGATATGCCGTAGCCTGCTCTTCCTCTAGTATCTCTTGATGAGTTGACCTCACTGGATCTCCTGGAGTATCCTGCATCATATAATAATGTGACACTCGAAAGAAACACCAAATGTAACTATCTACGTAGCTCCAATCACTCTCATCTATGATACTCCGTGTCTCCTCTAACACCAGATGATTAAGATAATCATCAAACATAACACTCGTATCTTTGCATGTCATAGTGGGAGGATCATACACAAAATGATCTTTAGGAATGTGCTACATGTAGCCGAACTCACACATGACATGCTCAGGAAGATGAGGAAATGTCAAACGTGACCCGCAAGCCAACCATCTCAAGTATAAGACTATGTCGTCAAAGGGACGCATCCTACAATGAATGAAGTAAGAATGAAAGTGTATATGCTATGGTACCAATTAGTCAAGATACACTCTGAACGACTCTTCGCATGGTTTCCGCTTAGCCGGACGAATTTAGAAGCACGTGGCATATCCTCACCATAAGTCAGTATACATAACCAATCGAAGATGTGTGGGAAGTGCTGGAGGATCCAAACCTGAAAAATGTTGGAACACACGAACCATTAGTTAGTAACGGCGTTGCAATAATATAATGAAAATGAGACATAAACACTAAAAGACCAAGAAATATTACCGCCAGTAGTGTGATGCTGCCTGTCACTTGTTTCGTCTTTCACATAAAACCTTTTGATAACTTAGAGTACAAGTAGACCAAACAAGTGGCCCCCAGTTGTACTCATGGATCCACACAAAGTCATCAAAGTACCACAAGTAGATGACATCCACATAAGTGGCACTCTTGTCCACAAAAATGGCAGTGCCAACTTGTGATACGGTGGGAGAACTGACTTGGAGTTTTGCGTTTGTGTTCGCAAATGTTGCGGTTTAGCAAGAGTCGCCACTGACTTTTCTTTTATCCAAAAGGAAAGGTGAAAAAGCACAGGAAAGACCTTTAGAGATGTTTTCTTGAGTTTGGGGGGTAGATTATGAAAAGGGAAGGTATTAGCACCCTTTTCATCCATGGTTTTCCATGGGCTCTTAGTTACTTGCCAGATCAACTTGCTTTTGTTTGAAATTGTGCTTTGTGTGGTTTTTGAAAGTATTTTGTAAAAGAGGTCAGTGTTTAGGCAATCTTTGTAATGATTATCGTTCGTAAGAATGTATACAAAGATGTTTGTCTTTTTTGAAAATGTGACTTTATAATGATTCCCGTCTCTATAAGAATGCGTACAAAGTGTTATCTTTTGAAAATGTTCTAAAGTGATAGTGTTGGTGTATAAAATGTTTTTGTTGTGAGCAAGCAAGCAACTGGGAGTGAATCTTCCTACTCAAAAGGTCTTAGATGTTCTTTTCCTCCTCCTTTAGATGTTGCTATCTTACCATTGATTTGGTAAGAAGCCCTATCGTTGGACGTGAAGGGACGGGCGTGGGTCATCGTATAACCATGATAGCAATATTGTGAGATGACTTAGCATTTTTCTTTAGGGACTAAGATCATTTCGAAAGGGAACTTTGATAGCGTCATTGAGGGACTATGATCTTATATTTTTTATTTGTGTGTGCTAAGACATCTCACATTTATAACATGGCCATTTTTAGGCAACAAGTGGAGTTAACCTTAAGGGTGCTAGTGTGCAAGTGTGTTTGATTACATGCATTTTAGCCTTGATTAGGGTGATCTATTTATCAGTTTCATGTCTTGTCATACACACCCTAATTACTAGCATTTATATTCAAAAGCGATAAATTGTAGAAATGTAAAGTCCTACGCTATTACAATATTTTAGGGATGGAGGTACATATTTATGAATGGGGATTGCAAATAAAATTAAATCTTAAGTTACTATTACAATCATATCGAAATGTACAATATAAGGAAGAAAAAGGACTTGTTTAGAAAATAATTTTTTGTGTTGATGAATAAAAAGAAATAAATAAATTAATAAAAGAAAATATTTTTATGTCTTTTTTATATTAAAAAAAGGGTTATTACTAAAAATAATAAAAAATGGAAAATAAATGAAAGATAGAAACAACGTACTGCTGCAAGCAAAACAAACAGAATCAGAAGTTCTGAAGCCAAGAGCGCTGTGACTCAGAAGGAGACGTCAGTGGGTATCAGAAGTTCTGAGTTGGTAAACTCTGAGGTCCTACAAAGAACATTAGAGGGGAAACACAAAAGTTCTGGGTGGTATTCAGACAGTGGACCACAAGTTAGAAGTTATGTATTACACTAAAACAGAGACTAAACCCCAAAAATTCAGTGTATTGTCAGTATGTAAAAATCATAAACTCTGAGTGTGTAAAAACAGCGAGTGGAAACATCAGAAGTTCAATATGTTTGACATGTAGGGAGAACTCAGAAGTTCTGTGTTGTGTTAGAACAGTGAGTGAATCATGGAAGTTCTATGTGTTAGAATAGTGAGTGAAAACAAAAGTTCTGTGTTACATTTAAACTCTTTCCTTATATCAATCAGCACAACAATAACTTATTCAGTTTTCAACAAACAACAAATCAGAAGGATAAAAGCACAACATTTTATGGAAGTTCTGATCCTGGTATTGACTCTAGCCTTAATCAGGAAGTTCTGATCCACAGTTTTTTCTACTTACGCAGTGATATGGACAACATCAATACTATGATATTTACATGTTTAATGATGTTCTCAATGAGGACATTATTGCATTTTCACGTGATGTGCTTAATGATGCGTATTAAGAAATTCCCAAAACTAAAGTGTAAGGGTACACTTGACAATTTTTCAAAAGTTCAAATCACTCGGGCCAGTTATAAGGCCCACGTAGGCCCGCTAGATTGTCTAGCTAGCGCTAACACTCACACTGATACGACACAATCGTCTCCCGAGTTTCTTCTCACACAACTTGTACAAAACACAGTAACATAACCGCATCAAGTTCAAGTTCATCCTTCAAATGGAGAGCGATGTGGAAGAATCCATGCGAAAGAGGCAACGAAAAAACTCTTTTTCCGGCGAATTCTCTCGCAAGGTCCATTTCCCCTCTTTCTTCCTGAACCTCACCATCTTTCTCTTTTTTCTTTCTTCTCTGGTCATGCATCCGAATTCCAGCTCCGGCAAATTGCAATAAAACCTAGCTCGTATCGCAGAAATAAACCCTAATTCATTTGAATTTTACTATCAGTTCAATTTCTAGGAACGATTATAACTATACCTTACTGTTAAACATTCTGCAACATCACGAAGTTTGTTCGATTGATTTATCTTACTTCTTCAAAGCTATATGTATAGGTTATTTAGCATATGTAATTTCTAATTCGATTACAACGTCATTGATTCGCGGTGTTTCTTTGGATGTAACTGAATTCTTGAAATAGGATGCTATCAAACCTGAGATTTTTCACGGAATTAGTTTATAGCAAATTGTATTTGTGACTTTGTTTATATATTTGATTCATTTTATTGTGCTTATCTTATGGTTTATTATTGTTGTTTTGCTCTTATTGTTATTTTCTTCACTGGTGATTTCTGGGATCATGCAGCAGTTTGAACAATACGCGGAACGGCCATATGGAGCTATGGGGGATGCGGTAATGGTTCTAACTTTTGTAAATCTTGATTTGGATGAGTATGGGAAAGAGTATTTCACTGTTTATTTTCTTGAATTTTTTACAGCAAAAGTCTTCGTCCTTTGTGATAAATGATTTTTGAGCATGCATGTAGGGAAATAAAACATAGATGCACTACAATGATTCTTGCAGTTTCAAGTTGCTGTATGGATATGGTAGTAAAAGGCAGGCTTGTAGTTTCATTACTCGGTTTTTAGTGTGCATTTTCCCATGTCCCACCTTTAAGATTTGAAAGTTTATGCAAGTTTCCAATTTCTCTCTTGATATGATATCTGAAAATTTTGTCTTCACTGAATTCATATTTGTATTGTTTACTTCTCAGAATTTTATACAAGACGATGATAATCGGTTGGAGAATACACGAGCCAAATGTAAGTCTATACTCTCATAAGTGTTTCTTCCATTTTCTAGATGATATAGAAGGAAGTAATTATATTATTTCATGGCAGTCGGAAGTTTGCTTAAAAGACATGGAGATTTGGCAGAGCGTATTTCTAGGTAAAATGTCCTTAATAAAGTATACGGCTTTTTTCTTGGTTGAATTTGTCACTGAAAAGTGGTCAACGTGCAGCTACTTGAACTAAAAACTAGTAATAAGTATAGAATTGTATAAACTTGTCCATGATTATCTTTTTATACAATTCCTGTTTTGACTTTTAATGTCTGCCTGTGGGTGGGGTGCATGAGGATTACAGAATATATTTCAAGTTGAGAAAACTATTTGAGTTCACATTTTATTTTCATTATTGGTTTTTGGGATCCTTGAAGACCGTCTTCGGTGGGTCTTTAAGAGAGAATTTAGTAAATGGAGTTGAATTCCCGAATTCATAATAATGTCTGTCAGTCTGCTTATCACAGCTAATGAAAGAGAAACCAAAAACAGTAAATAGCTACCATATCATAACATGCCTGATAAATTCTTTGTGGACACAGGTTACTTGAGGCCTGTGGGCGCAAAGTGATAACTAGCAATGAAGTGTCCCCATTATTCTTTGATTCACTCTTTTTTTGATGATTAAAAATAAAGAATAGAGAAGAAATGTTACCTTACCATGGAGTTTTTTTTTCTCATCACAAGGTGTTCCACTTTATTTAACTATTCACCTATTTTTTTCTGAATTTTGAGGATTTCTCATCTCCCCCTTTGTACTTTTCTCTCTGCGTTGAAATCTGGTGGTCATGGGTTGTAGTCATAGATACAGCTTCTCTGCTTATGGAGTTAAGACTGTACTTTTGGTACTTTTCTCTTTTTCATTATTGGCAGAATCTTACGTACTAGGCGGCTTTTCTCTTTTTTTACATCACAAATGCAGGTCAGCTCACAGTGAGCTTTTCTTGCAAAGTGATATTGAATGTTTCCACATTATTGGCTTATATGCAGTTTCTAATATGTATTTTAAACTGCTTTATACACATTCAAGGCTTACATGCTGTTATAAGGTGTTTACTTTTCTTCTCTTTTCCTCGACGAATATCTTACTCCCATTATAATGATGCCTAAATAAAAAATTATTGTTTCCGAATGTACATTAATTGTTATTTGCTGCAGTAAAGTATAGACATTTTTGTTAATATTCACTATGTCGGCAGGGATTCTGACAAGATAGCATTTGACCGTCTACAGAAAGAATTTGAAGCTGCACGAGCTTCTCAAACTGAAGGTAGATTCCTATTTATTATAAACAGTCTCTGACAGACTGGCACTCCTTTGTTTCCTGTTACATACCCACTGATGTCCTGTTACATTTTTGTCTAGCTGATAGGAATTTCAATTTTTATCCTCCATATTCGACATTCACATTTCAATTTATTGGGTTTATGCTTGAATTCATTTTCCATAGAAGTGATATCAGTTTCATCCTCCAAATAAAATTGACACCAACATCCATTTATTAGATTGTGATATCAATTTAGTTCCTAAATTTGAAGCTTCATGACTGGTCTTCTCACCGGCTGTGTACCAGGTTGCCTTCAATGTTACTTATTTGTTATTGACGAACTATGCTAATATCAACCTTGATTGGAGGATCTGAGTGATGTCACTTGTATCATTTGGAGACTAAAATGACAGTTTACGCATGTATGACAAGCCTGCATGCATGAGGGGGCAAAGTGCTGGCTGGGTTTGCTGGTTGGTTACACAGTTACCAATAAAGCTTTGCAAATAACTAGAAAATATTATTCTTCAGTGCCTTCTGTTATTTGGTATAGCCTGGCTTAGTGGCTTATAAGTCAATCTTTGAACGTTTAATCATCTATTGGTTGAAATAGTACTGTTTAAAAACCTGAATATTGCACTATTTAAACCGACGGGAATTGAACTGGACCCTAAGTAAAATTAAAGATCTTTTTGCTATTGATGTTATCTGATCATGTAGAATAAATAAAAGTAGTTTTTTTTTTTTTTTTTGCGTAGAATGACAAAGAAGAGTTGAACATAGAAAGAGTATTGATTAATCATTAATCTAAAAAAATCTGACCAACCTCTACTGTTAATTCTTTCCTTAGAAATATCCAGAAAAATGCTTCCTAATCTCCTTTTTTATCCAGAAAAATATTTAGATGGGGAGCAGTGGAATGATGGTCTACTAGCTACAATAAGAGAGCAGGTATGGTTATGTGATTGTTACCTTCATTTTTTACTCATGTTCTGCTAGTTCTGATATTTGTCCTTGATGTTTTCCATAGTAATCATTTGTTTGACTTTCACCGTTGATGTTCATGATGATTTTGACCGATTAAAATGTATTCTTCTCAGGTGCATATAGAGACAGACAGAAAAGCAATATCTGGGGACACTGACGTATTAACAAGCCCTCAGGAAAAAATTACTTACAAAACTGGAAACAAGGTAAATATTATGATATTACATCTCTGACTAACTTTTCATGGTAGAATGGCTACTTAGTTTTTAGTAATAGCAGATTATATTTGTAACAAGTTGCAGATATTTCAAGCATTAAAGACAGTAGAGAAGAAAATATAGGCAGACGAGGTTTAAACAATATTTCAATACTTTCCATATTTAAGTCATTAAGTGATGTGTACGAGAGAGTATCAATTTATGTACTGATGAAAGTGTGGGGGGTAAGAGAATAGGCTAAAGAACCAGTGTTTTAAACCTTGGACCAGTGATCAACCTGATCAAAATGCTAGATCACTTGTCGGACGCTGGGTGACTTGCTGAACCACTTGACTGTAAACCTAGTCTATATTAAAAAAGTGATGACATATATGTTAAACACTTGAAAATACATATCATACTAAATTTATTTTTTTATTTTATAAGCCTACAAAATAGTTATAATATTTTTCTTTCTAAATTACGTATGTTATATATTATTGAGTAAATAAAAAAGACTTATTAAATAATATTATGTATTAATTTTGTGTGTTTACAATTTGAATTCTAAAGTAGTACAAGTTGTATATAATAATAATGAGAGAAAAAGAGGGAATACTATAAAGTTAAAGATAAATTGTGAATTCTTAAACATATGATGCATATATGTATATAGATGCAGGCAAATCATAAACAAAAGCAACGGGCTGTGTTTTGAAAAGATCAACACTTGCGAGGGAGTATGTTTTCAGGCAAATCATAAACATGTTGTTAGCTAAGTGGCTGCAAATTTTCCATAAAATGAATAGGGGTTCAAAACTTTCAAGCACTATTTATTTGGAATGTTACAAAATATTTTCTATTACAGGCAGTTTCTAATATTTTAACAAAATTTTTGCGTCATCATTAATAAAAATGTCCGAACTGGGTCTCATTAGAACCAAACCATCAGATTTTGGCTGGTTCAACCAGTTAAGTATCAATTTTGGCTGGGTTAATAGCACAACCAATCTGATAGCCTGACCGGATCGGCTATAGGTTTGGTTCCCAGCTCATCTGGCCAGACCGTTCAGTTCGGTTTTTAAAACTACGTAAATAACTATATTACATTAATTTTTGTACACAAGAAATACAAAATTTAAAAACAGGTTAGACAAGATTCTCAATTTGAGGTAGACGAAAGAGATTGTGATTCGTGAATGTCAAAATAGTAGGAGATACGATCGCCGCCCTAAAGTTACAGGAGAGTGAAAAATCTGTAATGTTACCAATGCATATGCACGAGGGGGGAAAGAAGAACAATACAAGGTAAAGTTTTGGGTGTGAGGGTATCCATGGGTGTATGGTGTAGAATATATACACCGAAGTTAAAAATACTTTAAACTACTACCAAATTTGTATATATTTATATTTATTTATAATTATAAGGAAGTTGGATAGAAAATTTATGTGAATTGCAAAGTCATACCTAGAGAGTATGCCCAGCAAAGTATTGGTTATGATTGTGCGGTCTGAGAGGAAAATAAATTGGAACAGCGAAGTTAGTAATCCTTGGCTAAGATGGTGAGCTTTGAAGATTTCCCATAACTCTAGGTGTGGACTAAGGTCAACACTATGCCGCCAATTTTTCATCTTAATTCTAGATATTCTTACTTAACATATCGAATCTTAGTGACACTACCCCAGTGGATGTTTTTGTGGGTGATATTATTTAGATGGAGAGTCGAGAATAAATAAATGGTAAGTTAGAGATATGGAGATATGACTTAAAACTGTACAGATTCCACCTAAGTAGGACTGTAGGAGTACCCAATTAAAACTTACCAATCATAGCTTGGAGGTGAAAATTGGAGAATATACAACACAAGTCTCGTCTTATAAGTACCTTGTGTCCATCCTACATACTGACAATGAGATTGAGGGAGATGTAAACAATAGAATCCTAGCAGCATTGAAAAAATAATCAAATATTCTTAGTGTGATCTAGGACAGGAAACTACCACTCGAACTTAGGGAATTCTTACTGCATATATATTTTCCCTAAGATGTTGCACGAGACTGAATTTTGGGTGGTAAAGAGCCATGAAAGGAAACTTAGTGTGCAGAGATGGGAGTGTTAAGACAGGTGAGTGCTCACACGGGACATAGTTAATAATAGACATAGTTAATAATACAATTTGTTAAGAAATGTGGTTGGACCTAACTCAACCCTTCAAAACCGGCTTGTAGGGTGAGGATTGCCTCCACTTATAAGGACATGTTCAGGCCATATATTATCCGATTTGAGACTCTTAACACCCCCCTCACGCCCAGGACTAGACATCTGGAGCCTTGAAATAAATTGTGGGTGGTCAATTAGCGGAAACCTGATCTTAAACGAAGCTCTTATACCTTGTTAAGAAATGTGGTTAGGTCTAATATATGGCCTCAACATATCCCCCTCACGCCCAGGACTAGACATCTGGAGCCTTGAAATAAATTGTGGGTGGTCAATTAGCGGAAACCTGATCTTAAACGAAGCTCTTATACCTTGTTAAGAAATGTGGTTAGGTCTAACTAAACCCTACAAAATTGGCTTGTAGGGTGAGGATTGTCCCCACTTATAAGGATATGTTGAGGCCATATATTATCCGATGTGAGACTCTTAACACAATTATTAGAAAGAAACACGGGTAGCTCCCACTGTAGAGAAAATAGTAGATTCTTGTTTTGAGTGGTTTTGGACATGTGCGGAGACAAGTGTTATCAATTGCTGATTATGGCATCCAGCCAAAACCTCCATATAAATGTGGTTCATGGCGGGAAAAAATAGGTATTGTGGTCTATGGCGGCAGACATTGAATATGCCACGGAACTGTTATGTTATAAGGTGTTGTGTCCATAAGGAGTACTTTTTAGATAACTTTTCAAGTTTTCTTTTTTTGGCATAAAAAAGTTTCTTTAAATGTAGTATCTTTACTCTTGCAAAATTAAATCTTTTAATATTTGAAGTTAGCTTTTATTTATCATATGATTTTATATAATTTTTGGTGATAGTTATTTTATTTTACTATTAGAAGAACAAAATTGATTGATAGCGTGCCAATAATGTACCGGTTCAATACTTCAAGGGTTGAGTATCTGAACCACATATTGAAACGTATTGCGAACCAGGTGACTATGAAAGGGACATTGGTAAAAAAAAAGAGTCTAAATCATAAAATAAGATTTAGAGGTATTCATGGTGACATTTGATGCATATAGCTGACTCCTGCTAATGTAATATGGCTTGAAGGTGGTGTTTGTTGTGGCCCCTCCCTAAAAATATTTGGACTGTCTAGGTTTTGGTCGCATTACTTGGATTAGTTGTTATTTTATGTATTAACTTCATGATCAATAATCTTTTTAATATTGGCTGTGTATTTGAGAGCAGGTAATTTGCTGTTTGGAAGGGGCGAGAATTGGCATACAGTATGAGACATCTTTTGCTGGTAATTTGGAAATAAATTGTTCATGACTTAGCTAATTCACGATGTGATATTATGAATGACTCTGACAGAGGCTGGATATTTCTTTACACGCTTTTTCCATTTCCCATTTCCCATTTGTTAATGATAATATCTGTTCATTTATTGCCAGGTGAACCTTGTGATTTTTACCACTGTGTACTGGAGAGCAAGTCATTTCTTGAAAAGATGACTGTCCTTGAGCACACACTTCCATATTTCTTGCCTATACACGAAATAGAAAAAGATCTCCTTTCATCCAATGCTATGGTAAAATCAATTATATGTTACCATGGACCATGTTTATTTGAATTTTTTTCTAAGCATCGTATCCTTTGGTTGGCATTCAGAAATTCATAGATCATGTTGGAGATCTATTGCAGGCATACGTGGATAGACGGGAACAGGTAGACTACCCATGTATGTAATCATTAGAGAGAGATGTTCATGTTTGGTATTAAGCATATTGCCATCATCATGATCCTTATGGACTTGTATGTTACACATGGAGCAAAAAATTTACACTAAACAACCATACATGTTTTAATTGTTCAAACACAAAACCTAAATGTGGCAACAAAAGAATAATATGTTAGAACATGTTTAACGCTAGTACCTCTGATTATGGGTTGTGCAGTTCATCTGCCAATGCCATTTAAGTACACTGATTGTGGAAGATATTAAACTTGGTGCTGTTACTTCGGGCATCACTTAGTTTTCTTGGTATGTAAACTATTAGATGGTATATGATCATCTTGAATATATTTCTATTTAGGCAATTCTTCCCTTACTCTCCTAACTCCCAAACAAAGTCTAAAAATCAGTTCTATGTTCAAAGTTGGGCTATAGTGTCCCTCTCTTTTTCTTTTCTATTGATTCTATCATCTGTCCCTCTACTTTTGAGATTAAATATCAACTACCGCTATCTGTAATGCTCGAAGTTACAGGTTAATGGTAGATCACAGTTTGCATATTTAATCTAAATATCAATTGAATATTTGAAAATTCGTGAGAAATAATTTTGATGGTAAAGAACCAAGTATTTGACTATTTGTGAGTATCTAGTACGTATATTATTTTGTTACAAACTAACATTTAACTTTTTGCCTCTTACAATATCATGCAGGTCAAACTTATAAAGGAACTTTATGGAAATCAAATTGGAGAGCTGTATCATAGCCTTCCTCATCACATGATCGAGTTTGTATTGGAAGATTTTGATTGGTCAGTGGGTTAAAGTCATATAATTTCTTCTTCAATTATGTATATAATACTCTCTTTCTGAATCTCATCACTTAATTTTTTGTCCCTTTATTTTCTTCCACTTATATTTTCCCCCTTGTTTTCTCACCTTGTAATATTGATCAAAATGTCATGTTTTTGTAGCAAAGTGACAGTCAGCCTTCGATACACGGATCTCATTTCGGTGCTTCCAACGCGAGTTACAGTGCTAGCCTGGCCAATGTTGAAGAAAAATTCAACTTCAACTTTGAACCGGATGGAAGATGGAGTCTCGGGAAGTCATCCTCTCCCAATTCGACTATCCTATGCAGAAGATGCCCTACGGACTATCAGTCTACCAGAAGGTGAAAACTATATTATTTTGGTTAAATTACAAGAAAACTGAGAAACTCTTTATATTCTGTGTGTGCGCCTATACTTACATCACACTGTTTGTTTTGAATTTCTAATGAATAAGCCTAATAGAAAGTTGTATACTTTAGGAATACTAACAATCAATCTAGAATATCTTTGAGTTTATTTAATTCTATGACTCTTCCTCAAGCTGGAACATACATGTCATATGCACCAAGCTAACAAATAGATTCAACCCGAGGTCGTCTAAGAGATTTAGTAAATATGTCATCAAATTGATCATTTGAACTAACAAAATTAGTTATAATTTCTCCTGAAAGAACCTTATCTCTCACAAAGTGACTGTCAATCTCTATGTGCTTAGTTCTTTCATGAAAAACCGGGCGGAAGGCGATCTGTAGTGTCAATTTGGTTGTCACTTATTAGTCTCATTGCCTTGACATCTCCTGATTTGAGCGGTTAGAGTAATTAATTGCTTTAGCCATGTGAGTTCACAAGTTGTTGCTGCCATAGCATGATATTCTACTTCTGCTTATGCACTAGACCTTATAACTATGTTATATTTCTTGTTCTGCCATGAGATCAAATTTCCTCCAATGAGGATACAGTACCCTGAAGTGGATCTTCTATCTGCCGGTGAACTTGCCCAATCAACATCAAAATAACCCACAATTTAGGTGTGTGTTATCCTTGTTTTCATAAAGTAATCCTTTACCCAATGCTCTCTTATATACTTAAGAATGCGAATCACAACAATCCAATGGTTATCACATCGAGCATTTAGAAATTGGTTAACCATATTGACGACAAAAGTAATGTTTGGTATGAACATTATGAGGTAATTAAGTTTTGTAAGGTTCAATTGGTACAGGGGAAGAAGGTAAAAATTCTCTAGGAATTCAGAGTAATAATAATAACATGCATTTTACTTTTCGGCAAATGCTAATGAATCTTCTTAGAATATTGGATATAAGAAATCAAGAATGGATTTTTTTTGAATTGTACAAGATTTAATTTTACAAATGCATTAAATGATGTAATTTCCATTAAATGTTTTTTTTATTTTTATATTAACAATAACCTGAAGAAAATCGCTTTTTAAAGTATATTATCAAAGGCCTACAAGCCTGCATCCATGTTCACTTGATTCTGATATGTGTCTCTATTGCTCTACTGATTTTATATGATGTTTCTTATCCCAGCATATGCAGAAATTGTATTGAATCTTCCACAAGCGCTTCAGCAGATGTACCATTAAAGAACTTAGGGCTTTGCCCTTTCTGCAGTCTATTCTCTTGTAAAAAAAATCTTGGTAGAATGTTTACTAGGTTGAGGAAAAATAACTCCAGAAGTTATAGTACCTATTGAAATTGTTTATAGGTTGAGGATTCATTTTTCTGTAATATGTCATATGCCAAATATTGTCCCCTCGTTATTCCTTCAATACCCTCTAGTGGTATCTTGTATCATTTGTGTACAACAGGGCTAGGTTGACTTCCATTGACTATTGAGATTTATAATTCATCTCTCCACAATCTGTATACATGTAATTTGGATTCATAAGATAAGTTCTGAAGTCATTAGCAAAACAATGACTAGTAAATCTCTGAGCGAGATAGTGAGTTGTGCAACATCTTCATGGAAGAATACACATCTAGAATCTGAAATATAACCTAATGTTACAAGAATCACACTGCTGTTCACCAAAACAAATGGTTTTCATTTAGTATTTTCATAATGTGATGAAGGGTCAACTCAATTAGGGAAATTTACAGCAATTTGATTTGTCCAAATATTCAATCTGGTGGAAAGCAAGACACATTTTGAAGAATTTAGGAAATCTTGTTTACAAGGTTGATGAAGGTTAATAGAGAATATGATGAGTCATACTCCTATTCCATTAATATCCTAGATTTAATTTTTCAAGATATGAAAGATCAACACTATTTTAGAATAAGTAAGCCTTAGAATAAGACCAACTTTAATGAATAAGTCACGTGCACTAAATTTTCATTGGTGGAGGTTGAGTTTTGAAATACTGTGATTTTTATTAGAATAAATAGGTCAATTTTAATTTAGTAGAATAAGAAAGGTCATCCTTAAATGTTTTGAATGTTTAACTTTTCTTGTATAAATAGAACATCTTGCTCCATTCCAAATCAATCAAAAATAGTGTCACATTATATAAAATTTTAAATCTATTATGGTATTCAGAGTTTTTTTTGCCACCCCCGTGACTTCATAGATCTTATATTTTTGTCTTCTGCTACAAATTCGTTGTGTTTCTCTAATGGCGAGTCCGTCATCACCGACGCTCTCATCTACGACATCGAGTATTTCTTTCGCTACTTTCAACTACAAATTTATAGAAAAATTAGATAATAAGAACTATCTAGTGTGGCTGCAGTAGGTTGAACCGGTGCTTCGAGCACACTGTCTTCATCATTACTGTGTTGCTCCGTAAATTCCTGATCATTACTTATCTGAAGCAGACCGTCAATTTTTGTGGTTTCAATCGTCACTTTTTTCATCGCCTCTCCCCAGCGTAATTGGCTGCTGTCACACGTGGCAACTTTGAGATTGGATTCACAAGAATTATTCTAATGTTAAGGCACAAACACGACAGTTGAGAATTGAGTTGCAGACACTCAAGAAAGGTACATACACTATTATTGAATTTCTCGACAAAATCAAGGTAACCTTCGATTCTCTAATGTCAATCAGTGAAACCGTTTTTACGACTGAGCAATTGGATGTTATTCTCAAAGGATTACCTTCAGAATATGAATATCTAGTTATGCTTATTAATAGTAAAGTTGCTTGGTTTGATTTTGATGAGATCAAACCATTATTACTTGCGCATGAACAACGAGTCATCAAATAGAAAATTGTTGAAGAAGTTGCTTCGTTGAATGTAACTCAAGTAGCATCTTCAAGCAACCTCAAGCAAACTACATTGCTGACACTCCCTCAAATGACAACTCTAAATCTGAAAATTCCAATTCTGGACGTAATTTTTATGGTGGTCGTGGTGCCCGTGGCAGCGGTTGTTGTACCCCAAAATTTGCCCTCTCATCTCTCAAGAATTTTCTCACAAGATTTCTACTAGGATAAGATTGCACAAGGTTTGATCAGCTCAAGATACTTCCTCAACACTGATGACCAAAAACTAGAGTTTGAATTTACGCAAGTACAATTGAGTTTTAATGCCCCTGTAATTTCCATGGATCATATTGGATTTCCAAGCATCAGGTCAAAGAGGAAACTATTGAAAGAGCAAAGCAAATAAATTCGATTTTTCTGACAAAATTGAAGAAAAATAAGCTTGCTTCGATTCATTCTTAGCTTCGACTGAACTCTCTCTCCTGCACGTTAGCTTCGACTGGGTTTGGTTTCCCTTTGAAATAGCTTCCTTCTATTCAAAAGGAAATGACCTCTTGAAAGCTTTCTTCGATTCAGAAGGTAGTGGCTTCATATAAGTTTCCTTCGATTCAGAAGTTAGTGGCTTCATACTGGTTTCATTCGATTCAGAAGGAACTGACCTTCTGAAAGCTTCCTTCGATTCAGAAGGCATTGGCCTTCTGAAGGTTTCCTTTGATTGCACCATTTGCATATTATATGTTTGTTTTGATTCACAAAATAGGGACCTCCTGCATGCAAGCATCATTTGGGCATTTAGGCTTCCTACACACATCTTTCGATTGCACCATTTACTCCCTGAACACATCTTTCGATTGCACCATGTACTCCCTGTATACATCCTTTGATTGCACCATTTACTTCCTGTATACATCCTTCGACTGCATCATTTAGACCTCCTGCATGCATCCTTCTTTTGGACATGTGGCCTTCTTCGAATACAAGCTTTGGTTACATCCTTTGTTTGGGCAGGTGGCCTCATTCAATGCAAGTTTAATCTATAAGCTTCGTTTGGGCATTTTGTTCCCTTCAAAGCAACCTTCTTTGATGCATTTCTAAAAACCTTCGACACACAAGTGGAAAACAGAATTTTTGAAGGAACACTGATCAAATCCATAGGCCATGCTATATGATCTTACTTTTCAGGTCTTAATGCTTGTGTTTCACTCCATAATTAATTGTTTACATCATGAATTAAGCTATTATCCAAGTAATTAAGCCTTTGTCCAAAAGATTTTTTCATGAAGTAAACTTGCTAGTACAAGATTTGTCTTAAGCCCATACCTTGCTTAAATCCTGATTATACTTCACCATAAGTCATATAAATCAGCCCCTTTTAATCAACAACTTTGGTACTTCACCTTGGGATCATGGAAAACCTGACATAACTTAATATTCACGTTTCAGCCAAGCCATATTTTGTTCAAACTCCCAAACCTTTTCTCTATTAATAGAGAAACCACTAACAAAGAAAGGGTCCAGATTTTTTGTCGTATGTGAAAATCATCAAACTCTCAAACTCTCAAAATCTCAAACTCTCAAATTCTCAAACACTCTCAAACATTCAAGCTCTAAAACTTTCATAAAAAAATCTCAGATCACTACAATATAACAAATCCTTCGATTCATTCCCCTAAACTAAAATATAACAAATCCTTCGATTAACTCACAACTATCACACACACCCCTTCTATTAAGCGATGGTCCAAACAAAGCAACAATTGAGCTAGTTCAAGGAAGGTCCCTGAAGGTTTGATCCATCATTCCTGGAAGCCATATACAACTCTTTTGATTGACACTTCAAGAGGTAAGTTTCCTTAAAGCTCAAAACTTTTTCATTCCAGCATCATTTGTATATACAAAATAAAGGAAAATGTAGATATCATATCTAGGGAGTTAACCATGCCTTAACCTTCGATTATTACTGCCTATGTGCCGAGAATCTTAACTATGACTAGTTAGCCTTTGATTTTGGTGCCAAATAAACTTGTGCTAACCCTTGACCTGTAGTTTTCGAAAGTTACCTTTTTAGGTTCATTTTTAAACTTTAGACAGTTTCTCTATGTCCTTTGATTGGCTGAATATGGAGGCCTTTCGAATCTCAACTTGGAAGTCTTGCATTCTTGAAATAGAAAGAAGAAGCTGGGCATGTCAAACAATCAGAAACAAGTTCATCTTGTATCCAATTGAAGGTGCCTTATGAATGGATGAAACATACCACCCAGTGGTACAAATAGTGCGCGCGAAAGGCATTTCTGTGTAAGGTCCTGAGTTCAAACCTTGGCAGGGCCAAAACAGTTTTTACCTTTTGTTTTGTTTCCTTTTTCTTTTTAACAAACTTCAAATATTTTTCTAACCAATCAAAACAACTCCTTTTGAGTTGCTTTTTTACACACTATTTATTTACAAATTTTATTTCATGAATATATAAAAATATCACAAAAAATATTTTATTTTCATAATTAATTTAATTAATCAAAATCTTTCCTTAACAAAAATCAAAACAAAGTTCATTTTTCATTTCATTTTAATTCTAGTTCATTTATTCACATTCAATATGGTTGCAATAGATATTTAAAATTTTATTTCTTGCAATCCCCATTTATACATTTGTATCCCCATCCCCAAGTGATGTAATAGCATAGTAAATTTACTTTCTGCAATTTACCGCTTTCATATAAATGCTAGTAATTAGAATGTGTATGGCAAGATTGAAAGCAATGCTTAGAAAACCCTAAATTCAAGACAAAAATGCATGCAATCAAACACACTTGTACACATGCACCTCTAGGGTTAACTCCACTTGTTGCCTTGAGAAAATGGTCATAATATGCATGTGGGACATCTTAGCAAAAACAATCAAAAGATCATAGTCCCTCGATGACGCTTCGAATGTTTCCTTACAAATGATCTTAGTCCCTCAAGAGAAATGCTAAGATATCTCATAATATTACTATTCATGACTATATGATGATCCACGCCCGTCCCTTTACATCAAAAGATAAGGCTTCTTACTAATCAATGGTAAGATAGCAATGTCAAAGGAAGGAAGAAATGAACCAAAAGACTTTTGAGTAGGTAGAACATTCTTATTTGCTTGCTCACAATTCATCTTAAAAAAATAAACATCTTTCAAAAATACACCAAACACTTTCAAAACATGAAATATTTTCAAAAAAGTCCAACACTTTGTATGCATTCTTATAGAGACAGAATCATTACAAAGTTTGCCTAAACGAAGGCGCTTTTTAAAAATACTTTCAAAACCCACCACAAAGCACATTTTCAAACAAAGCAAGTGATCTAGCAAGCAACTAAGAGCCCATAGATAACTATGGA